ACATACACACACACCACACACATACACACACACCACAACACACACAACACACACACCACAACACACACACACACACCACAACACACACACACACTCACACAGGAGTGCAGAGGGAAAAAATAGACAAAACTCCAAAAAACAGCATCTAGACAGGATTCATGTCTCAAAGCCATGTTCTTCCTAAATCTAAGTAAAGTGTGTTAGAACTTATTATAAAACTTACACCTCTTAGTGTATAAAGCAAGGACATGACCACCCCAAGGTATGGTTGAAGAGAAGGTTTTTGCTGTTGATATGAGGGAGAGAACAGTCAGAGGTTTCTGGAAGAGTCCAGAGCAGGGAGAAAAGTAGTAGACTAGACATGGCCAGTAGACTGGACCAGGCCATGAGAGGAGACAGGGAGAGAACAAGAGGGCCCACGGCCATGGTGGGGTTATACAGGAATGAGAAGCTGGGGGAGGAAAGATCATGAGCTACAGTTTAGGGTAGGGGGCAGGGTGAGAAGGATGAGGAGCCAGGATGCCAGCATGGGCTCTGTGACAGGGACGTGGGAAGCTGAGAGAACCTGGATGCCAGCATGCACTTTGGTGTACTAATAGGCACCACAGGTAGCCATTGGTCCCCAGTTCATTTTGAACCTGACATGCCAGCCTTTTTGCCAATAAGGGCCAACATAATCTCTTCTGTAACTGTTTGTTGGCTGAAGTTAGGGTGTAGTGGTCAGAGCCCAGGAAGGCTGGAATGCTGGTCAAAGGCTGGGCAGGGAGAGAAGAGTGCAGGCTGGGGACACCTGCTTCACTAGCTGTTCAGGTTCTGTGTGACCACCTGGGGCTAGTGAAGTGCAGGCCACTTTGGAGCAGTCTGGGGTGCAGGTTCTGAAGGACCACCTGGTGCTGTCATGTTGCAGGCAGGGTTGGAGCAGTTTTCAGCTTGAGTTGATTGGAAATCTGCTGGGACAGATATAGACGAGGGACAGAAGTTGAAGTTAAGGAGATTAGGGGAAAATCTTTGTCTTGGGTGTATACTTGAAACTTCCAGGCCCGTAGTTCTGGTAGTTGTAGGGAGGAGAGGAGTCCCAAGACCAGGGAAAGGGGAGCCCACCCTTAGGGTTAGGTTAAGTAGGAGCAAAACTTAGGCTGTTGATTGACAGACAGTACTTACCTGAAGTCTGTTTGACATGTGTGAGGTGGATCCAAGTCACAACTCCCTGATGCTTCTGTGACCTTTTTAAGTTTACAAAAGAGATAAAAGTTTTAGATATACTAACATTACTATTATTTGTAATCTGCACTGAAATACTCACTGTGTCTGTAAGCAGCTGGAGGAGACTCAAGCCCTGCAATGCCAAGTGCTGGGGTAATAGGCAGATGCCACCACACCCAGCTTTTTCCTTTCTTTTTTTAGATTTATTTTGGAGTGTGTGTGTGTGTATGTGTGTGTGTGTGTGTGTGTGTGTGTGTGTGTGTGTGTGTGCACATGGAGGTCAGAGGACAATTTTGAGAAGTTGGTTCTTCCCCCATGTAGGTCCCGAGGATGGAACTCAGGTTGTCAGGGTTGGTGATAAATGCCACCCCCACCCCCATTTTTTACTCTGTAGCTCTGGGTCATGGGGATTGACACTTAGGTCATCAGTAATGGCAAGGGCCTTTACCCAGTGAGCCATCTCATCAGCCCACCTAAGGAACTTTCTTCAACAGGGACCTTGGGGTTGGTGTCCTGGCTAGTTTTGTGTCAACATGACACAAAGCTAGAGTCATCTGAGAGGAAGCAACCCCAACTGTAGGCACGTCTGTAGGGCATTTTCTTAATTAGTGATTGTTGGGGAGGGTCTAGTCCATTGTGGGTGGGGCCACCGCTGGGCTGCTGGTCCTGGGTGCTGTAAGAAAGCGGGCTGAACAAGCCATGAGAGCAAGCCAGTAAGCAGCCCCCTCCATTGCCCTCCACAGCAACTCCTGCCTCCAGGTTCCTGCCCTGCTTGAGTTCCCGCCCTGAATTCCCTCAATGGATTGTGATTCAAGATATGTAAGCAAGAAACCCCTTCCTCCCCAACTTGCTTTTGGTCAGGGTGTTTCATCACAGCAGTATAACCTTAATTAAGACAGATGGCATGGGGCTTGTGTGGCTTTGCTGGTCCCTCTGATGGGTCATGATTTTCATGAGCTAGGAGAGCTTCTGTAGGATCTGAGACTGGTTGACATTTAAGCTCAGTTCATGTGCTAATCAAGAGGGGATGAGGGAGGGCAGGAAGAAGCCTACCTCACCCACTCAAAAGCAAATGTGGTGGGATTCGTGGTCCACCAAGCTTCCCAGGGAAGAAGTTGACAGCCAAATGCTGTGCTTGTGAGCCTGAAGGTGTGGACATTAGAGGGATAGCAATGATCCTTTCTGTGTCAGCCCCTGACACAGAGGAGGGAGGAGCTCTGGAGAGCACACTGCAACTGCTGCTTCTCTAAAAGTGGCCAAAGTTGCCAGCAGGTGAGGACCATGCAGGGGGACCAGAGGCCCCACACTGAACGGAGGATTTAATGGTTTTGAAAAGCATCTGAATGCTAGTGGAGTGTGGATGGGAAGTCAGTTTGCATAGGATGCAGGGCCAGCACAGGTGCATAACTCTTGGGAGCAGTATGGCCAAGTAAGACCCAGGACACCTGAAAAGCTTAGTGGGAAAATCCTACAACAGCCCATGCCTGTGGATGCATGCTGCTGCAGGTGTATGGTGGTCATGGGGGCTCCCAGAGAACTGGTATAGATTCCCTGGTGGTTTTCCATGTGGCCGCCTATAGCCCATTGAGCTCAGAAACTAGGAGGCAGATACTTTAATAAGATCTAGGCCTTCTGCCTCAGGGACTCCTGGAGGCTGCTTTCTGGGTTCATGTAAAGTTTGGACACAGTAAAACTAACATAGGCTAGAAGATGGCTCAGGCCACCAGCATGTCTGTGGCATATTTTAATACTTTGCATGCTTTCTAGATACATAAGGCTTGTTCTTGGATTATGGCCATTGGGGATGGATGCTATGATGGGACAGAGCTTGAGAGACTGACTGCTCAACAGTTAAGAGCATTTGTTATTCTTATAGAGGACCAGAATTCTGTTCCCAACACCCATGTCAGGCAGTTCACAACTGCCTGTAACTCCATCTCTAGGGGTCTGATGCCCCCCTCCTGGCCTTTCAGATACCTGCACTTACAGTCTTTATTAAGACCAATTAGGATTCATGCAACATACATCCATATGAGTTTCTACCCAGGAAGGCTCCCAAGTCCCCTCCCGAAAAGTAGAAGACAATGGCACCATTTTTGGTGGCATGCCAGAAAGATCTGGTAAGTCAGTGTTGGTGGGCAGATAGAACACAGCCACCGGCAGCTTGAAGGACTGGGATCTCCACCACGGAAAGCAGAATCCTCAGTTAGGCTGCAAAAAATGTTTTTTCATCGGCCAGTGAGATGACTCAGGGGATAAAGGCATCTGCTGATAAACCTGTGTGGTGATATTTTGAACAAATAAAACTTGCCTGAAGATCAGAGGACAGACCCAGCCACAGAGTTAGCCACAGAGGTCAGGCAGTGGTGGCACACACTTTTAATCCTATCATTTGGGAGGCAGAGGCAGAGATCCATTTGGACCTCTGTGAGTTCAAGGCCACACTGGACTACATGAGATTAATCCAGTCTAAAAGAGAAACAGAGCCAGGCAGTGGTGGTACACACTTGTAATTCAGCACTTGGGATCACACACCTTTAATCCCAGCACTAGGAAGGTTGAGACAGGAAGTGATGTGGCTGGGCAGAGAAAGGAATATAAGGTGGGAGGAGACAGGAACTCACACTCTTTCAGGCTGAGGAGTTGGTGAGGTAAGAGGTAGTAGCTGTGGCTTGCTCTGCTTCTCTGACCTTTCAGCTTTCACCCTGATATCTGGCTCCGGGTTTTTATTTTTTTATTTTTATTATTTTTCTTCCTTTAGTTTGTGGATGCTTTTCTTTCTTTCTTTTTTTTATTTTTATTTTTTAAATTACACTCATGATATTCATTAATTACACTCATGATATTAATCATATTTGTGGTATTTATAGATTACATTCACAGTATTTATTCAATTATATATATTTTAATTTTAAATGCCGAATGTCATTTATTGAAGGAGGGAGGAGGTCTTAAATACAGGTTTACAGCACAATGGGAGAACGCCGGAGGGCAGATGTTTTACAATCTTGCATCTAAGCTGTTAACGCCCATTATTCAGGATACACAGACAAGGAACTTCCCTTAAGCATTCAGGAGGGTGGAATCTGGCAGGGAATTAGCATAGGGAGGATATCAAGGTCAAGGTCCACAAGCAAGGCAACAGTTACGCAAAATGGGGGGGGGATGGAAGGCAGGGACCTACAGGTCCCCCTTTTATTAAAAAATGAGCTTCTGACTTGGGTTGCGTGGGACGTCAACAGGTCACCTTACCTGTCATGGAGACGCCTGCCCAGGCCACACAGGTACTCTGTCTTAGGTTGGTGAGCATCCCCCAGACATTACCCGTCTCTGAATACTCATTATCATACAGGCTCAATCATGTGTGAGCTGCATGGTTAATTGCTGCCAAAGATCTCAAAGTAGCACTGGGCTTGCAATCTGTGTGTTTGACACAGAAAAGACCAACAGAGGTCCTATCCCACCCATAGCCAGTAGGCTAAAGGCAACTGACCCATTCTCTTCCTTAACGAGCCATACTGTATGTTGGAGTCCTTGTAAGATAGTATCCCAAAAGCAACTGGAAATTGAGTTTATAAATTTATAATTTTCAAAGCCAATCGAGATGTATATAACACTGAATTGAATTTATCATGCCCAATAGAATGGAAGATTAACTGTGGTAGCTACTTTTGTTGCCACGGTCTCCACTGTGCTAGCTGTAGTAAGCAATTATGAAATGGTAATCCCAGAAACAGTAGCAGCGGTGGCCGCCATTGCTATAAAGCAACAGCGGCAGCAGCAATGTCAAATTCTCTTCTCGAGTGTGTGGACATCAACTGGCATGAATACAACTCCAGTAACAGGAAATGCCAAGGCCCATTTTTCTTGATCCCAGCACGACTTTAGCTGGCAGCTTTTCTGGAGAATCCAATCTCATGGATTACATTAATGGTTGCCAAAGCTGGCGATATTGGGCTCTCAATCTCCATTGGCATCAGAAGGGAAGATTTTTTCATGAAGACCCATTAGGTCTCTGTTATGTTGGGCTTCAGCAGCAGCCACAGGGCACGTTCAGTGCTCAGGAATCCAAAGAGGAACCTCATTGTCTTGAGGAAAGACATAAACAGAACTCTGGGGCCACACCAACACTAGATCAGGTCTCCTCCACGTGCTAGCAGAAAGATCCTTCCATCGTTCCAGAGGGTGATTTGCAACAGGAGCCCTCCAGTGCTTATCTGCATTGGATACTCCAAGTGTTCATATGTGCATGGATTAATGTCAGGGTCTTCAATTCGATTCCATTGGTCCGTATGTCGGTTTTTATACCAGTACCAAGCTGTTTTTATTACTTAGCTCTATAGTAGAGTTTGAGGTCAGGGATGGTGATGCCTCCAGAGGTTGCTTTAT